GATAGATAGATAGATAGATAGATAGATAGATAGATAGATAGATAGATAGAAAAATGCCATAGACTGGGGGGCTTAAGCAACATTTATTTTCTCACGACTCTGGAGGGTGGAAATCTCGTATCAATGCTCCAGGCAATCTGGCTTCTGGTGAGAACTCTTCCTGGCTTGCTGATTGCCACCTTCACTATGTCCTCCCACGGCATTTCCTCTGTACTGGAAGGTCAAGGAGAGGGGTGATTTCTCTGTTGTTTCTTCTTATAAAAACACCCATCCCATCAGATCAGGGCCCCACCCTCATTTAACCTTAGAAGTCCCATCTCCAAATACAGTCTCAGATATTAGGACTCCAACTTATGAATTCTAAGGGAAACAAATACTCAGTCCATAAAAATCTCTACACATAACAACCTGGTTTCCTAGGCTATCATTTAATAAAGTGTTAGAGCTCCCTACCTCTAATGGAAAAGAGAGACAAAAAGCTGTTCAGTATATAAACATTGAGATAAAATGTTGTATTTTTTTAAATGATTCATTTTCATAGTAAGTCAACGCTACATACCATTCAAGTGCTACAGGGATTTGGTGAGAGAAAAGCAAATTTAAACTATAGGAATGATTTTTTGAGGAGTTGGGAGAGGCCATAACTATGCCTTGAAGGACCAGGTGGAATGCAACAAAAACAGAGTCCCCAGTCACCTGGGAACTGGCAGGTAACCTGGGAACAGACTTGAGTGCTACTGGGTGGTCTTGCAGGGAAATAATAATTCAAATACAGAACTCTCCAACTGAGAGATATGCAAATTGCTTTCCTTTTGATTGAGTTAACATATGGCCACACAGTAGTCCCAGCTATGATCTGTGCTTTATCACATTCCTTGAAAAATCTACAGACAATTATACTAACCCAGCCAAAAGATAGGTGTCTTAAGAGGGAGCCAAAATTGAGCATTCTCAATCTATTCTTTGGGAATCTACATCCCAGCCAATATCCTAGAGGAAAAAAACCTTTTTAGTTTTCATCAAAATAGTTCTACCAGTAAGGGCTCCTAGGCCAAATGACAGTCCTATGTGTATACTTTTTAAATTACTACAGTTGCTCTAATCCCCTCCCTCCTTTCACTATATCCTCAATTGAACTGACAGATTAGTTTCTCCCGAGCTCCATCACTCCACTATTAAAAACTATGCCTCTGGCCTCCTGAATCAAGCACAAACCCCTCTGCCTAGCATTTAAGTAAGCATCTCCACCATCAAAGCTCACCATATTCTGTCTTTACTACCAGACACAAAACTTGCCCCAAATGCAATACTAAGTCTTGCTCCTTGCCTGACTTGAAAGCTCTTCTGCCTTCTCTCCTCTCCATTTGCCATCCATAGCCTTTCCATCGTTTGTGGGTCACCTCCTCCATAAAGCATTCTCTAATGATATCACAGACACTGATTCTTCCTTCAGTCAAAAACTATGCATTAAGAACCTCTTCTGTTCCAGAAGTTGAGAGGGCTCCTTGCTCCTAATTCCTTCTGTCCACATTGTCTGTGACTTACCTTTAATACTCTTACTACTGTCCTTGTCTCCAATATGTCACTTTATATTTGTGGAAGAGGATCTCAAATGTTTTATTTACTAGGTGGTGCTTGTGTGCAATCTCACAGGTGATTGTGATTTGTAGGTGATTTGGGAACAAACACATACACATCTTTTATACGGCCCATAGCACATGATAAAGGGCTAAATATGTTGCTATTAATTGGTGTTAAATATGTTTTCACTTGCAAACTTTGTGAATACTTACTTTTGTGCCTCTCTTAGAGGGACAGAAGGAAAGAGAGAAGAGGTTGACATCCCTGGAAGTTTTTTCAGTTGTCTAACATTGTCCTTAACTATAATTTGTTAACAAGTATTTCTGGAGTTCCTATTATGTGTCAGATACAGGCACAAATATTCTATATGGTAGAGCCTTAATCACAGCCTTAATTCCCTGGCACTTATTTTCTGCACATAGTTAACAATAAGTATGTGTTGAGTGACTATACGAATGTAGCCTCCTGCTCACAAGCAGCTCATATTTTAGCAGTGTAGGGGTAAATGGGATATAGGTGATGAACAATTAAACAAGTAGATGAGCTAGATAGCGTGATGATTACTATGGAGAAAATAAAACAGGATAATTAATATTATGCAGTTTGCCAATTTGGGCCAGTTTTTTTTGGCTTTTTGTTTGTTTTTTGTCAACAGAGTCAAGCGACCCCATCAGCATGACTTGGTGGACAATAGGGCACTCTCTGGAGGCAGATTTCCCGGGGTCCACAACCCTGCCTTCCTCGCTCGCTCTGTGGCTCTGGACAAACTACTTAACGTTTCTGGCTTCATTATCCCCATCCGGTAACAGTACCTACAGCATGAGGTGGGTTTGAGGACTAAAAAGAGTACGATAGGCAAAGTACTTGGTACTGTGCCTGGCAACCTAGGAAGCCTTTAGGAAATGTTAGTGATCACGGCCGTCAGGTTCACTCAACTGGCGCCAAGGGGAGGCGAGAACCCCAGGCGCCCTCTGTCCCTGAACTCCCTACCCAGATCCTCGCCCCTGCCTGAGGCAGGTTATCAAGCAGAGGCAAGCTGGGCAGAGTTTTGACCTTGAACTGAGGTCCTAAGAGGCCGAAGGGTCGGTGCCCCTTGTCTATCTGCGAAGACGTACGGAGAAGGGCCGGCGGGCAAAGGCTGCCGGGTTCGGGCTGGGCGGCGGGCTCCCCAGCCCCTTCCCCCTGGGCCAGAGGCCTCGAGGGCTCGCACCAGCTCAGCCCGGACGCCCTGCAGCGGCGGGGGATGGGCCGGGCTCTCCCTCAGCGCCGGCCTCTCGGAGCCGCGGTTCGCTGCCGCAGGGGTCGAGACAGCGGCTCTCCGCACCTCGTCGCCCCGCCCCCAGGCCAACGGTCGCAGGCGCGCAGCCCAGCAGGGGCGCGAGGCCGCGGGCGGGCCCGCCTGGCGATTGGCCGGGAGGGTGCGAGGGGCACGCGGGCGGGGGAGGGGGGCGGGCACATGCGCGCAGGCGGCGCAGCCGGCACGCGGCGCTCGCGCTCCCAGCTTAAATGAGCCTGGGCTGCCCGCGCCCGCCACTTCGGAGGGGCTCGCGCCGCGGCCGCAGAAGGAGCGGCCCGTGCGGGTGTCGTCCCTCGCGCCACCGCGCCTCGGCTCCGGGGCAGTAGATGGGACAGAGCACCACGGAGCAGGAGGCGGCGCCCGTCGGGGGACTCGGGCAGCGCGGGAGCCCGCCGGGGGGCTCGGGCATGGCGGGCTGCAGGACCTGAGCCCTGCCCCGCGGGGAGGCAGCCTGGTGGCCGGCGATGGGGACCGAGCGGGACTGCCTCCGCGCCGGGCCGTGAGCACCGCGCCGCCGCCGCCTCCTCCTCGCCGCCGCCTCGGCCCCTCGCGAAGCGACGGGCCGCTCGGGAACATGGCCCTGGAGCAGCTCTGCGCGGTCCTCAAAGGTAAGCGCCGGGGGCCGCGGACGGCGCCCCCTGCGGGCCGAGGCCGGCGTCTTCGCGTCCCTCCCCGGCGCGACCGGGCGCCCGACGCGCCTCTTTGTCTGGTCCGCGCGGACCGCGGAGCTCTGGCGCCCACCCCGATTGACTTGCTCTCCAAGCGCCTCTCCCCCAGCCCTCTGCGTGTCTGGCAGGCTCCGGGGGCACTGGTGGGAACGCGCGGTAGAACGGGAAGCAGCGGCCCGGCGGGGCCCTCCGAGCCGTGTCCTCGCGCGTCTTACAATTCCGTGCATCGCTTCGCAAAGTTGTGGGGTTCATGTAAGTGGGGCTCAGGCCGGTCTTTTTCAGCATTTAATGACAGAAAGTCATTCCACGCAAACAATAAAAGCCCCAAGCCGAGGCGTCGCGGAGCAGCTCTGGAAAAGCCCTGCGCTGGCGGGTGGCGGAACGGCCTGCGGGCCGGACCGAGTCCCACCTGCTGCGGCCGCGGAAGGCTGCGGCACCACTGCGGGCGCCGCGACCCGGCCCGGCCCGGCCCGGAGCCCGCTGCTCGCGGCCGCGCCCCGGCGCTTCCCGGGACCTCGGAATACCGTGCCGCCGGTGTGTGGTTCTTTTTGATTTGTTGTACCGGGAATTAAAACAGTGGGCTTGCCAAGTGCACAAAGCTCCCAAACAGGCTATAGCTGCTTTGCATTTTCCTGGAGGTGTTATTTTAGATTGAAATTTATATGCATAGATAATTAAGGTTGTGATACAAAGTTGCTTCCGAAACTCGCACTGAATAAATCCTTTTTTCAGTCGTCAGAGGAAAGGAAACACCACCACCAAAAAAAAGGGCTTCCCTTTTCCCCTACTGATTTAAATTGAAAACTGAATAGCTGTACGTTGTTAATGCTATAAAATATTTTTTATATTGGATAAGGAGTTAAGGTATTAGCAGTGTCACATATAGCTTATTGTGTCCTGATATTTGTACAGTGACAAATGTTGGGTGTTTTTTTCCCATTACATATTAACACTTTTTTCTAATTTGTTCATTAGAAAATTCAGTATAATTTTGCTTTTAATTTTAACTGGACAGTTGCCTGCCTACCAGATTTTCCTAAATTCATCCTTGAGATTTCAGCAGTTTAATTTCAAATGTTTACCTAATGGTATACTTATAGGTACAATTGGTACTAAGGTAACTTAGGACTTTCTGCCTAATGAATATTTCACATCACCCCCTGAATTCTTAGTGATTCCTTCATTAAATTAAAATTTAAAACTCTGATGTTAATTTCGTATAGTTTTCCTATCTAAATCCTAATTTATGTAGCCATTCCTTGGAAATTAAGACTGTTTTATTCTTCCAAAATAAATCATACATGCACAGTAGGTTTTCTGATAGTGCTCATTATCCAAATTTGCTTCATTGTCCTGACCGCTTTATGGTTATCACCATCATGACAGTCCATCTGGGTAGCCCCCTAAGGAGAAATCAGTTAGCCCTGTTACACAGCTCTACCTGCGGAACTTCAGGGAACTGAGCTGGATAGGACGGAATTGCTGGTCCTCCTGAATCCTGAAGGGATTTGCAGCTTTTCTGCCTTTGCCTTTGTCGTTGGTACATACTGCCCTCTCTGGCCACTGTGGTGAAGGATTTAGCTGTTGCACCTTTCCGGAAAGGATTCTGTGGTGATGGCAGAGCCAACAGTGAAAACAAGGTAGTATCTGGCTTTTCTTTTTAGTGTGCACTAAAACCTACACTTGTTGTACATGCTAGAGTATTTTTAAAGCTCAAACTAAGTTGTTGTAGGCTTGCTAGAGATGAAACAAGCTATTTTTAAGTCTTCTAAAGTTTGTGTGTGATTGTAAATTTGGGGAATTGGTCTGGAAAGATTCAAGAAATTAACGAAAGTTGATTCTGAGAAGGGAATCTGGGAGAGAGTTAGAGTGAGGGGAATACTTCTATTTCACTGCATCCGCATTTGTAGCCCTTGATTTTTTTAACCAAATGCGTGTGTTACCTATACAGAAATTGTTTTGTTTTTTTTTTAATTTTAAAAAATTATCTTTTGGAAAAATACTGGATTTTCCTAGTTCTTGCATTCATTGTGTGCATCAAGGCATGAAAAAGCATCCCTTAAGTATCCTGTAAGGTGAATTGCTTCAATACAGAAGAGGTTCTTATCAGAAGCAGTTATTTAATATTTGCATAATTATAGATATTACCTACCAAAAGCCTTGTTTGCAGTATTATGGTCAGTTTCTACTAAAACAAATCATCCATAATGAGTGTGTGAGATCTTAAGTAGAAGGTAATTTTCTTTAAGATGCCATTGATTCTTTTTGTTTTACTCTCAGCAGTGAGAACAAAAGGATAACTCTACTAGGCTTTTTAAACCTTTCATATGTTGTTAAAACTGAATAATTCACTTTTAACTGTTTATGATCCCTCCGGGTCATAAAATTTGATTTAACTTTCTGTCAAAGTTAAGTAAGCATCATAGTCACATGAAAATATTGCATTAGTACTATAAACCCATTTTTTACTGTTTTATTTACTCATCACACTTTGGGAGAATCTTATTAGACTCAGTTATATTTAAACTGTGTAATTTGTTGTGTAACAGCATAAATATCCCTCGGCACTATATTTTTAAAATCTTACCTGAGACTGACAAAAATTAACTCCTGTCTATCATGCCTCTTCCAAAAATTAGTAAACTATACAAAAATATGTGTGGTACTGGAAAGCTGTCCCTTTAATAGTGAAGTTTTAAAGCATAGTCTTGTTAAAAATTAACTTTTTTACTTTTTCCCCCAGGAATAGGAGAAATGTTTTAAGGCTGAAAATTGAAGTCTGACTAAACACTGGTTTTATTGTAGTAAATCCTCAAACTAGAATCCAGTTTATCTGTGTTTTGAAACCAAATTCACCTGTTAGAAAAAACATGCAGCCTTATAATACACACATATGTGCATTACAAAACAAGTTCAAATCACTTTCAGGCCTTTTTGGAATAAGATAGAAAAAAGATAAACTATAAACAAAGTTCATATCCAAAGTTTTAAACTCTCCAATTCTGTTTTTGGTTACTACTCATTCAGCAGTCTCCTATAGTTGGTTTTTGTTTTTTTTTTTTAGTCTCATTTTTAAATTTATGCTCCTTGCAGAGTAATTCTTGGTGTTTAAAAATGTGTCCCTGAATCACTATGAAATCCCAGTTATTATGGTTTTTGAGTTGGAAAGGGGAACCCTAAGATCCATTGGTTTCCAAACTTTCCTTAACAGGAGAACTTCTTCAAAAGGAATCCTTCTGAGGGGATACTTAAAAACTAAACAAAGGTAATAGATAAGAGCAAGGTTGCTGTAATTGGTGAGGGACTTCACCCTCTCAAAGGCTCATCAGAATGGCCCCCAAAACTTTTTAACATGTTTGTTATATCACTCACAAAATTGCAGTGTACTAATTTGAAAGTTCAGTTCTTCCTAGGCAAAATGACATTAAAACATGTTGGTTTAAATATGCCTGGACTAATATGTTGGAAATTACAGCACTAGTGGGTGAGAAGATATCCTCTTTAAAATGTGACCTGGTCACATTAAAATTTGTTGCTGTGAATGTCTAAAGAAGGCTACTATAAAATGAGAACATACAAAACTGCTCTCTTAGGAGCACTTGGCCAGCAAGGAGGTTGTCACATTCTGCAGGAAAGAAAGCACTTCTGCTACAGCTACTCATTCTTAAAGTGGTTGGCAGTGTGATTAGCATATGTAGGTTGGAGTGATCCCAAAGTTTGCCAAGTCCATCTTCTTTCTTAGCTAATAAGTAAAATTGAGTTTGATTAAATTTGGGTACTCTGTTCTGTGGAACATAGCTAATCAAAAACAAGTTACTACTACCTCAAGTAGTATTGGACTCTCATCGAACTCCATTCTGCTTTCATTATCGAGGATAGTAAAGAGCAAGAAGACGAGTTAGGCTGTTGTTACATCTGGCATCTCGTGATAGATTCTACAAACCTTTCATTTACCGCTTTGATGCTTAAAACAGGAGGGCTTATTGGCAAGAGGCACATTTAATTACTAACAGAGGTAAATTGAGCCAGCTTGAGAAAAGTAAGCTTAGTGGCTGGATATCTGAAAACAAAAGAAAAACAATCAATTCTTTTCCTGTTCCTTGATTTATGCTTGATAAAAGAAGCTGGGTCATCTGTGTGACTACTGTTAACCAAGATGTGTGCTTCTCATTTGTTGATGCAGGACTCCGCACTGTATGTTGTAGTTACAAAAAGGACGTAATCAGGATCATGCTTAGTCATGTCAGGTATTCATCTAATTTTTATTGAATGCTGTCGTGGGCTAGGCAATCTTCTAGTCACCAGGGCTGCATCCGTGAATCAGACAAGGCTTCTCTTTCTAGTAGGAACTGACAAATAATAAGCAAAATATCAAGTGATATAAATAATAATTAAAATATTTATATAATAAAACAGGATGAAGGAGAAAATGTAGAGCTTCTTTAGAAATCAGAAAGTCTTCAGAAGACCTGAATGACAGGAAGGAACCAGCCATGCAGAGAGATTCTAGGCAAAAGGAATAAGCAAGTCCCTAGGGCAAGAAGGAGCTTGGTATATTGAAGTAATGGGAAGAAGGCCTGTATAGCGACAGGTAGCAATCAGGAGGTCAGGGAAGTGGTTAGATGCTAAATCACATAGGACCTCTGAAGTCAGAGTAGGGGGTATGGATTTACTCTCAGTGTAATGGGACTGTATTGGAAGATTTTATGAAAGGCTGTGATATGATCTGGTTTATGTCTTGAAGGGATCACTGGCTGCTGAGTACAGAATAGACTGTAGGGGACATGGCAGAAATAGCCAGTTGTCTCCCAATATCCATTTTACACTTTAGTAATTCTCTGAATTTTAATTAAGCCCGTAACCACCCAACAGAAAGACTAGATTTTCCAGCTTTCCTTAGGGTTAGGTGTGGCCATGTGATAAGTGAGTCTGGCCAATTG